ACTGAACCGGACAATTAAGTCCTCACCCTTCTGGGAAGCAAGGCCAAACTTCTTGACCACTGGCTCCACAGCTGGCCCGGTCTCCGGTTCCCCGCTCTCGGCCAGGTCATCACGCTGAACAACGTACGCTGAAGCACTCTTTCCAGCCTGTCGCACAGCCCGGTAATCCGGGAAAGGACTGCGCATTGCAGCCACGACAACATCCAGCTTGAGCCCTCCTTCGGTCTTCGCGGTCACAATACCTCGTTGGTCTGGAGTGAGCCCTGCGGAATTTTGATGAATTTAAGCACGCTCATCCACGAGCCTCTGATGGGAAGTCAATAATCGCAACCCTTCTCCGGCACTTTGCAAAGGATTCCTGCACCCTTGCACACCATGCAGCCATGCTTTCGCCGTCCTGAGCCTGCAATTCGATTATTTTCGTCAAGCATTCGGCCATCTGGCCATGGGCCATTTTGTCAGGAAACCTCTCATCAAATGCAGCCCAAGGGTGTATGTCACCATTGATGATCCAATGACAAGTGCTCAACAGGCTCTAAGGCCAGCCCGTCCAACAAGCAAAACACAAACGGCCCTCGATGCGTGGCCTGCATGTGCTCTGTTAAGGCCATTCGAGCCTCGGCCTCCGCCCATAGCTTCCATCTACTGTATTCTTTCGGGTCCAACCTTTCGCCACTAAAGCGTCTCTGCTTGCCACCGAAATCAGATGACGATGAATTTAGACACTGCTTTTGAACCTCCAACCCTTCCTAAAGTTGCCTACCCCGAATGCCCCAACTTTTAGCTGGGGCTCCGCTACCAATGTGCAAACAGGGGGCGTCAACCCCTTCACAAACCCAGGACCCCTGCCCGACCCGAACGGCCGCTTCGACCTTTGTTCGCCTGAACTGAAGGTGCCTGTCGCAGATGTATCAAATACATCTGTGTATGGACACTGTCTTTCATATGTATAATGTATACACACTGTATATTGCTCCTTTGAGGAATCAACTACAAAACCCAATATAAGTAAAACCAACTGGACGACGAGTGGCCCGAAAGCATTTTTCATCACGTAGGAAGTCAGAGTGCGAGTTATCCGGTAAGTGTGCAGTGAGAAGTGTGAAGTCGAGTGAGTTGAGGTAGTGTGTGGGTTTCTGTGCGTGTGTCTATGTCCGTGTGGAAATGAGTCTGCGTATGTGTGTGTTCGTGTAAGTTGAGGGAGTGTGTGGGTGTCTGTGTGTGATGCGGCCTCCCAAACCCCCCACCGGCGGCCAAGCGGTGACAGCCCAGCTCATCGTCGTGAGCATTTGGGCTGCTGGTAAGGGGACAATGGCAGCCAGCGTGCTGGCTTACCCACTTCAACTATGATGGCAGCCAGCGTGCTGGCTTACCCACTTCAACTATGATGGCAGCCAGCGTGCTGGCTTACCCACTTCAACTATGATGGTAGCCAGCGTGCTGGCTCATACCCACTTCAACTATGATGGCAGCCAGCGTGCTGGCTTTGCCATCTGGACAATGGCAGCCAGCGTGCTGGCTTATCCACTTCAACTATGATGCTAGCCAGCGTGCTGTCTTTGCCATCTCAACAATTGCATCACCACATGCTGCACTGCAGACTGAACAATAACGTGTGAATCATCTGCCTCTGGTCATCCTGGTTGACGCTGAAGAAGTGCTCGTCAACAATGCCAAGGTGCCCTGGCATGATGGCTGGGCAAAGAGGAAGACCTACGAGCTAGTGGACTGCAAAGTAGTAAATAGCGCATGCATAGGCATAAGAACAATACTAAAGTTGTACTACCAATACTACCAAGTTGCCACTTCTCATCTTCCAGCTCCCCCGCTACTCCGCGCACTACACTTGTGCTGCAAAGTCGCCACTTCGCAGCTACTGCCCACTCACCAGTTCTCATCTTCCCACTCCCCAGCTACTCTGCGTACTAAAGTTGCACTGCCAAGTCGCCAGTTCTCATCTTCCCACTCCCCGGCTGCTCTGCGTACTATATTTGTACGACCCAGTTCTCATCTTCCAGCTCCCCAGCTACTCCTCGTACTAAAGTTGTACTCCAAAGTCGCGAGTTCTCAGCTACTACCCACTCATCAGTTCTCATCTTCCCACTTCCCAGCTACTCTGCGTACTAAAGTTGTATTACCAAGTCGCCACTTCTCATCTTCCAGCTCCACAGCTACTCCGCGCACTAAAGTTGTACTACGCAGTCGCCAGTTCTCAGCTTCCAGCTCCAC